TGCACTCCTGGGAAATAAGGGTGAGGGACCCCCCAGGGCAGCAGGGAGCTGATGACCAGCCTCTGTGCTCTCAAGGCCAGCGCCCCTCAGGCTCTCATGATGACACAGCCGTTTATGGGGAAAACAACAGTGGTTCTCTCCTGGGTGCTACACTCACCAGCACCCCCAGAGCCAGAGCAATGAATGTCTCTAATAGACCAGGGCGCCAGGACAGCCATCCGATGCTGGCGCCCTGTGGGCCAGGCCGGCATAGAACTTCACTGTCTCCTCTCAGGAGAGAGACAGCAATCCTGTGAGGCAGCTCCATTGCCCCCATTTTGCAGATGAGAAAACAGGTTTAAAAGAGGCCGCCTGGCCAGCAGGTGGAGGAACCAGGACTGGAAGCTGAGCCTTTCTAACTCGGGAACCCGCCACACCATCCACGCAAAAGTTCATCTGCACTTTGTTCCTGGGCTGCCAGCTAAGCAGCAGGTGTGGGAACACCGACAAGTCCCGGGCACTGGCCTGCAGGGGCTCACACACTACACGCAGTGTCCGCATCAGGGGCCTCTCCAACCCCACCAGCCACCCTCGTCTCTGACAAGCATTTGGTATGAGAGGGTCCCTGCCACCAGCACCACTCATGTGCTCCACCAGGGGGCAGTGTGCTCCCCATGACCCTGACCTCCCAGAGCAGGGATTCCCGTTTTGCCTACCGCTGGCCCCAGAAGAGCCGGGACACCCAACCACAGAACTACCTTCTCACCCAGATTCACAGTTCAATGAACTGACTAGTTTGGAGCTGATGGAACCCCTGAAGAGAAGGAATAGCCACCTGCTCTCAGCAGCCTCTCCCTGATGCTGAGGGATGTGGATGAGAATTGGAAAAGCAGCCCCTCCCCACCCAGCCCAAGGCCCTCCTGCCCCTGCTGAGCTCTAAGCGCACCTTCCCTGAGCTCTCAGGTGCACGCGAGCTGGTGCTGAGCACAGGGCCTGCTTCCTGTTTGCTGGGGGCCTGTCTCCCTGCTGCACTGCCTGCCCCCCTTCCCCTGGCCAACCGCACATCTTGTCTGGGTGCTCGGAGGGGTCCAAACATGAGAGGGAGAGGCCTGAGAAGCAGACAGTTAGCAACCCCTGCCCAGGGAGACAGACAGCAGACCGCACTCATCTCCCGATATGAGATGAACAGAGGGAATCAGCCCAGGCTGCTGTTAGAATGGGGGTCAGTGAGCACTGGGGAAGCTCCTGCCATGCAGAGCTTCCAATCCCCCACGGACAGATCTAAGGCAGCCTCTGGGGCCAGCGTGCTGTCATCTGGAAGCTCCTGGGACTGTCCACAGAGGCGCTGAGAAATCTGACAACACTTACTTGGTGGCTCATGTCCTGACATCCAGGCTGCCAGACCCTTCACATTCTCTGTGGGGAGAATGGCAATGGAACTGCCCAAATGGCCCCTGAATAACACCCTGTTGACTTCGCTGAGGATGGGCTGACCCAGGAGATTCAGAGCCCAATGCTCAGCTCCCTGGGTGGGGGAGAAGCTGCAGCCAGGCTGGCTCCCCGGCGCCAGGGGCTGCTGCCTACCTCTGACAGCTGCTCCAGCTCCCAGCTCAGGTGGGGGGGCTGGTTCATCCTCTGGACCTGTGAAGCCTCAAGGACCATGTTCTCCCCCAGCAGATCCTCCAGGCAATTCTGGGAGGTGTCCAGTGTCCTAGTGCAGGAAATGGGGAGGGGGGTGGATGCACCCTGGTGCACCCTCTGGGCAGGCCCTGCCCCGATGCATGTACCCTCATTCCCCCAGGATGAAGGGCTCCCATGCACTGCTCACTTCCTAGAGCACAGCTGCACAGAAGGGACTCCAGCAAAGGGCGCAGCTGGGAGACCTACAGCCACTAAAAGACATGCTGACCCAGTGGCCTAGGACATGATGAAGACACCCAAGGACTCTGAGTGGAGTCTGAGCAAAGTGACACACAGCACAGGGCTGTAAAGCAAGTGATAGGGTGCCGGGCAGATCTGTGGCCCCTGAGCAGGTTTAACATGTCTTAGAAAGGCCGTAGGGACTCCCAAATCACAGCTCAACTCACACCCTAAACACCAGCAGAAACCCTTTTTGCAACCGTCACCCACCTACATCCCTCCATAGAGAAAAGCAACACAACAGTCAGACCTATCTATTTATATATATATTACAATTATATATATATAAAATGTATTTACACTGAGTGGGCCAGATTATTATGACCACCGTATCAGTACAATGAAGTGAATTAGTTATGCAAAAATCCTATATAATAAAAGGCTAATATGCAAATCAACTGAATGGTGGAACGACCAGTTGCTATGACGCACACTGACCACAAGGAGGCAGACGCTCAATGCAGGAGCTGCCCCCTGGTGGTCAATGTGCTCCCACAGGGAACTGGGCTCCCAGCTGGTAAGCACAGTGGCTGTGGCTGGAGCCTCTCCCGCCACCGCAACAGCGCTAAGGATGTCTGACTGCTGGCTTAGGCCTGCTCCCTGACATCTCCCAAGGGGTCCCAGACTGTAAGAGGGCTCAGGCTGGGCGGAGGAACCCCTCCTTCCCCCAGTGAATGAACTTCGTGCACCCGGCCGCTAGTAATAATAATAAAACCTTGAGAGTATTTGCTTAGGAAGTTTTTAATATTCAGTATTTTTTGAAGTTTCAATGAAGTACTGATGGGGTGGTCATAATAATCTGGCTGGTCATAATAATCTGGCCACTCTGTATATTGATCTCAGGGAGAGGGAGAGATAGAAACAACAATGAGAGAGAATCATGGATTGGCTGCCTCCCACAGGCTACCCCTGGGGATGGAGCCTGGAGCCTGGGCATCAGCACTGACCAGACAGGCCTGTCTGTTTGGAGGGCTTTAACTGGTGCCCACTGAAGCCGCTGAGCTAAGCAAGCGACTCTTTGCCATCAGCAGGTCACTGTATTGGCAGCAGCACCAACCCAGTCGTGGAAAATCAGAGAAGAACACAACATAAACCTAAACCTGCCCCCATCTGTTGTACACGTGGTGGGAGAGTGACAGACGGTACAGCCTCGCCTGGAGGGAGGAGTGCACCTGCTGGCAGGTGTGGGACTTGGCTGAGCCCGATTTCCTTAACAAGGAAGACGTGGGGCTGAGAGCCTGTACCGGGTGTGAGAGCTGAGTCTAGGCCTCTCAGTTCCACAGTCGCCCCACTGATGTGGCCCCTGGAAATAAATGGCTGTTCGTGCGAGCTTTTGTTCAACACACAGTTCCTATATGATGATAAATGAGAATTAACCACTTAGTTATATGATTGTATATCCACATTTCTAAAAAGTATTGTGTTCCCACCAACCTAATTACAGAAATGTGATCCGTTCCTTTTAGGGAACAACACATTTTATTTTGTGGAGTCTCACCTAGAGAGCCCAGGTCAGAAATTCTCCCTCCCCTGGGGGGCCTGTCGGTCTGTCCCCGTGAACCCGGCCTCTGCTCCCATCTCCTCCCCCAGCGCCCCTGGCAGCGCCAGGTCACCTTGTTCTCCAAGTTCCTGGGCTGGAAAGCCAGATCTTCTGCTGGGCGGTAGAGAAAACTACATTACCCCGAAAGCAATGCGCGCACGCAGGGCGTTTTGGTGCAAGAGCATCCGGTTAGGGCGGGACTTCCGGAGTCTTCTTCTCGGTGGACATTTTTCCTTCTTCGCTGGCTCCGGGTTTGAGCGCGTCCATCGGGAGAGGAGGGGACGGAACCCCGCGGGGCAGGGTGGGGTGTGTCTGAGCCTGTGGCGCCGCCACCTTCGAATTTGGAGGTCCCCGAGGCTCCCGACCCCTCTCCGCCGACAGAGTCCCCTCGGCCCTCACCCCATCGGACCGTCCAGCCTCGGGGCCGGCGCCGCTCGGGTCCCGCCCCCCAGGGCGCAGCGTCCAGCGCAGTGAGTCCTCGTGGGGACCCGGGGTGTGAGGGGAGGGAGGGCGCCGGGCTGCGGGGCCGCCGGGGGAGGCCGTGGGGGGCTGAGCCGGGAGGGGGGCACCCAGGCCTGGTTTGTGTCTAAAGGCGACGGAGAGGACGAGCGGCGGGTCCGGGAGGAGGTTCACTTCCTGCTCCGGGCGCCGGGGCCGGGGGTGGTTGTGAACAAAGAGGGACCTTGAGCCCCGAGGGCGGCGGGCATCACCCCCCCCCCGGGGCGGGGCCAGGGCCCTGAGCAGCCGGAGCCCCTGGGTTCTGGGGTGGGTGCCCGGCCCTCAGCCCTTTGGTTCCCACCGGTTCCTGCGGGTGCAGAGCCGCTGAGGGGCCGGGGCTGTGGGGCTCCTGTCAGGGCCTCACTCTCTGGTGGCCTCTGAGGTCGTGGGGTCCTGGGCTGTCGGCCCCTCTTCTCGGGGGACCTTGGACCTGGGGACCTTGACGGGACACCAAGCCCAGAATCCTAAGCCCAGGTCAAGAGTCAGATGAGTGGCAGCTGATCTTGGCAGCCAGTGGAATTGTGTGTGACAGGTCCTTCCGCGCATGGGCTCCAGAATGTGCAAAGGCTTGGAGTGCAGACTAAGCTGATTCAGGGACCAGCAGGTAGGGGTCCATTTTTTAAAAACAGGAACTGGAAACAGTGGGACAGGAACCAAGTGCAGAGGGGCCTTGTGACCACTTGGGTTTCTGTTCTGCTGGCGATGGGGTCATTGGGGTCATGGGAGCAGTAGAGCAGGTGACCTGTCCCAGGTCTCATTAGACTCCCTGTGGCTGCAGCCTGATGCACAGGATGGGTGTGAGGACGGTGGTAGGAGGCCCAGGACGGAAGCTGCTGTGAAAGTGCTGGTGAGTGTGAGGGTAACTGGAGCACAGTGGTGGTTGTGGATGGGGAAGAAGCAGTTGCATTATGGATCAGGGTTATAGCTGTGGCCACCTGGATTTTATAATTTTGAGGGTTAGAGAGAGGGGTGAGAATCAGAGATGATGTGAAGGTTTGGATTTAGTACCTGAATGTATGAAAGCACCATCAACTGAGATGGAGAAATTCATAGTCAGAAAAGTAATGTTCATGAGGAACATAAAATCTTTTATATTTTCCTGTTAGGGTATGAGATATTTCAGAGACCAGTTCATGACCATCTGGAACTCTGAGGAATAGTTCAAGATGAAGACTACTTAAAAAAATAGTAAAGAGTATGGACCAGGGAGGCGTTGTGATTCACCTTCTCTTTTTTATGGAGGTAGAAGAGTAATTCAAAGAAGGTGAGACTGTGGCTGGTGCATATTTACTTCTTAAACACTCACCAGGATTTCTTGTGACCCTTTGTGTGGCCTGGTGTGTTGCATCCAGTTTGGTTGATTTGCTTATGGACAAGAGGGGACATCTGTGAGACTCACTGTGCATGGGGTAGAGGACCATAGGCTGTGGGACTTGGGTACTGAAGTCTGTGAGTGTAGAGGTGGGCTCTGGGTAACTGAGATCTGATGTGGTTTTCAATAGGTGAGGTTGAAGGAAAAAAGAAGTTGGGAAGGGAGGCCTAAAAAACAAGTTGGGATGGAGACCTTGATAGCAGAACTGAAGGCTGTGCCTTGAATGATACTGTTTGAACTTGCCATGCAGTCTCTGGAACACACATGCTGAGTAATGACTAACACCAAGGAAATGTCTGTGGGAGCTGGGGCTACGGGAGTGCAGGTGTGAGAGAGGTGTGGGAGGAGTGATGTGCTGTGGGAGAGGGAGTGTGAATTCCTGGCCACAGATCCCTGATATTGACATAGAAGTAATGAAGGTTGAGTCCATTTCTGGTGATAACTGGATGATACAACATGGAGAACTTTAGGGTAATTCCTGAAAAGACGGGTGTCGTGGCGCTACATACCAGGTCCAGAATTTAGGTGTCATATAGGTGCACACCTGCCTGTGGTTGTTCGGCGGATACAGTGATCAATAGGAATGGGATAGCAGACATCAGTGTCACCTGGGCTTGAAAATCTCTACTGGCTTGGGGAAGAGAGAAGGGTAAGAGATAAATACATTTCAGAGGGGGTGCATTAGAATGTTGAAAAGAAGCTGAGTAGATAGCATCCCCTCCTCTTCATGGCCTGTATGTGTTTTCTTTAAGTTGTGACTCTGGGAATGAAGCTGCATTAGAGAAGTGGGATAGGAAGAAATATGTGGAACAGGAAGCGCCAAGTGTTGACCTCAGCACCCTAGGACTGGAATCGAAAGGGTGACGAGGGATGCTATGTTTTTCTAGGTCTTGGAGGGAGAATGTGTGGGACAACAAGGATATTGCCCCACAAGACCAGTGTCAAATCACTCACATCTCTCTTTATGGCCAGCAGTTATCTGTACACTATGTTGGGACACCCATTGCGTTGACCCTAAATGTGATGCCCTGAGGTCAGGTATAATCAATCTGGGCATATGCTTTATTGCTGTGGGAAGACACAGTATCAGTAGGAATATAAGGAGAGAGTGACTCTGATGGATGCAAGGCCTGCTATTTTCTGTGATGAGGGAGTGGAGGGAGCAGATGGATATGGAGAGTGGCAAGTATGATGAAATTGAAGCCTAGGAGAGAAGCTGATCATGGACTGAACTGTCCCCTTCACAACAGGATATGGACTTTGAGGACGTGGCCATTGCCTTCTCTCAGGAGGAGTGGAGGCTCCTGGATGAGGCTCAGAGACTTCTGTACTGCGATGTGATGCTGGAAGTGTTTGCTCTGGTCTCATCTGCAGGTAAGAGCTTCACATTGTCCCAGTGTCCTGAGGTGATGCCCTTTCTTCCTTTATTCTCAAAACATAGCTTTCTCTCTCCCACAGCCAGACCACGGGTTCTGTTAATTTCCACCACTGTCTTGTGAAATGTGCTGTGCCTTCCAGTGCTGAGCTGTATGGAGAGCCCTGACCAATAGGCTCCACGAACATCCCTGAACACCCATTGCCTCAAAAAGTGCAGAAAGTGTCTGGGAATCGGGAGTCTTACAGGCAGCTTAATGGCTCCCACCTTCCTCTTCCTCTCCCTGGGAGGGTGACCATATGTACATTTATTCACTTCTTCCCCCTTCCTCTAGGGAAAGGTGCTTTATGACAGCCTGTGCCATGTTATATTCTTCACTTTCATGAACCTTGGGCTATTCTTGTAAGACCCTTCTCCAGTTGTTGTTTGTAATATTACCTTAGCTGAGTACTGCTGTGGGCCAAATTGCTCTGTGCCAGAGCTGGCTGCTCTCCTCCGTTGTCTTTCATTAATACTTGGAATAGTTATGGTTTATGCATCAGTAGAGTAGAAGATCAGGGAGAAACCTGGTTTCCTCACAGGGTGACATGCAAGATGTTCTCAGAGGAGGTCTGGCCATGCTGAGTGACAGCTGGGGGGAAGGTATGACATAATGGTGGTGGTCAGATGGTACCAAGAACCAGCTAATTTCCAACAGTGTTTAGGGGCAGGTGGCACCGGCTATCCCCCATTTCTACCCTCTCTTTCCCATACTTGACACTTTGCTGACTTGCATTTCATCTGTGACTTCCTGGTTTTTGGCATCTTCACCTTTGTCACCTTTTTGCATCACCTGCCCCTCTGCACTGCACCCTTTGCAGTATTCTCCTACATGGACCTGCACATGTGATATGAGTTGCACATACATGCTTAAGTAGTCCTCAAACATCTGCTATTTGTTTATTGAATTTTACTTGGAAGAAGGCATAACCAACCTTCTTCACAGCTTGCTCCTGTCACCAGCAGACCAGCCCTGCTCAGCACTGTTAGCAGGAGACTGAGCTTGAGATCCATCTTCTCTTCCATGTGGTCCTTGCCATGAATGGGTCATATTTCTGGTGAGGACTTCCCTGTTTTGTGACCTTCACAGAAGCTTCTTATTAATCCTTCCTGCACCTCTCTTATTTTCAGACAATTCAATGGAACTCACGTATTATGTGCAAAGCATATTTGCAATGGAAGTTCTCCTGTCACGACAGATAACAATCAGTTCCTTCACATTTCTTTTTTTTCAGGTTGTTGGCATAAAACGGTTGATGAGGAGACCTGTTCTGGGCAGAGTGTATCTGTACATGGAGAGTCACAGGTCAGGGCTCCTAAGACAGAGCCAGCAACCCAGAGGACCCATCTGTGTGAGCGCTGTTTCTCCATGATCAAAGACATTCTGCACCTGACTGAGTCACAAGCAGCAGACTTTGAGCAGAAAGCCTTCTTCAGTGATGCATGTGGCAGAGACTTCTGTTTCAGTGCAAACCCTCGCCAGCAACAGAGGGAAGCCAGTGGAGAGAAGCCCTGGAAAGAAGCTGTGGACAGGGCCTCGTTTGTGACCAGGTGCAGCTTTTACTTACCTTGGGTGCCTTTAAGCATTAGGGAGGCTGAGGAAGACTTCCCAGCCACGTCAGAGCTTCTCCAGCACCAGGCCCGTCTCGACACTGAGGAGCCACACAGTGGCAGTGAGATTTCACAGGAATATCTTGTTGGAAAAAGTCTTCAGCACACTTGTAACTGTGAAATATTTGGCAGCAACAACCAGAGAGTTGTTCTCCATCAGGGTGCCTGCGCTGAAGAAATGAAATATGAGTGTGACAGACGTGGAAATGTTTTTAAACAAAACATTCACCTCATTCAACATAGAATAATTCACACTGGAGAAAAGCCCTATGAGTGTGCTGATTGTGGGAAGTCCTTTGGACAAAGGTCCAATTTCATTTCACACCACAGAGTTCACACTGGAGAAAAACCTTATGAGTGTACTGATTGTGGGAAATCTTTTAGGAGAAATAATAACCTCCTTAACCACAAGAGAGTTCACACTGGAGAAAAGCCCTATGAATGTGCTGATTGCGGGAAATCTTTTACAAGAAATAATAACCTCCGAAACCACAAGACAGTTCACACTGGAGAAAAACCCTATGAGTGTACTGATTGTGGGAAATCTTTTAGGAGAAATAATAACCTCCTAAACCACAAGACAGTTCACACTGGAGAAAAACCCTATGAGTGTACTGATTGTGGAAAATCTTTTAGGAATAGTAGTACACTCCTTAACCACAAGACGGTTCACACTGAAGAAAAGCCATATGAGTGTATTGATTGTGGGAAGTTCTTCAAGAGAAGCTTACACCTCTCTGAACACAAGAGAATTCACACTGGTGAAAAACCTTTTGAATGTAGTGATTGTGGGAAGTTCTTCAGACTAAAGGGGCACCTCATTAAACACCACAGAATTCATACCGGAGAGAAGCCGTATGAGTGTAGTGAGTGTGGAAAGTCCTTTAGACAAAGACGTTCGCTCATGGACCACTACAGAAGTCACACTGGGGAAAAGCCGTATGAGTGTAATGAGTGTGGAAAGTGCTTTAGACAGAGACGTTCGCTCATGGACCACCACAGAAGTCACACGGGAGAAAGGCCTCATGAGTGTAGTAAATGTGGGAAATGTTTTAGCAGCAAACCGAGCCTTGTCAGACATCTGAGAGTGCACATTGGGGAAAACCCTTTCATGTGAAGGGGATGTTTTATCTTCCTCACTCTACAACACTGCAGGAGACTTAAATCCGTTTACCTGAATATGAACGCCCTTTATCTGAACATACACTGTGCGAAATTGCTCATACGTTTGAGGTACAAGTGAGTCCTGAAGGACCTGCACAGCACTTGCTAACTTGCCGAGGACTCCTACCTCATTGATGTCACTGGGAGTATTTGTGGCTGAAGTGACCTCCTCTCCCACCTGGCTCACCTGAACAGTGTGCACCAGTCACCACCCCTGGTGCTCAGGGGAAATGTATTCTGTGTTCTCCCTTGTGCTTAAGTGAATTATGAATACTCTGAGCTCTTGGCAGGATCCTCATTCCTTACACTCTGACCAGGAAATGCACCTGACCCAGGGTTCGTCCAGAGGCCCCTCCTCAGCTAAGAAGAGCTACCTCTTTCAGGGACATCATGGTTCTCACCTTCAGCGGTGATAAATTGTTATAAACTGATTGCGCTACATGCTCTGGTAAATGGTGTTTTTGTGATTGTGATTTTGCTTTTGTACCTTTAATTTTGTTGGTTCTGGTCACTGTCTGGATTGATTTGAAAGTACAATTGTGATCTGTCAGCATGTACAGGTAACAGATATTGTGGGGATCTCAAACTCTCTGTGCTTCAGACAGGATAGCCTGATGACAGAAAAGCCTTCTCTGTCCAATCTTCTTTGCATTACTGCCCAAGGCCTTGAAATAAAGACCGCATGACTTTGTGGTTGTATTTTGCAGGTTTGAACCCCAACCCACCATTTCGGCTGGTGTGGGAGGCATCCAGTCATTGTGTTTCTCTCTCTCTCTCATCCCCCTCCCACTCTCTCTCTAAAAAAAAAATAAAAAAGATTATCTACCCTTCTCCCTTCTCGCTATGATGGACCTCTGCCTGCACAGCCCACCTTCCCTTGTTTCCTGCCTTTGCCTGGGATGTTCCCCCTGCAGCTGGGCACACTGTGTCCTGCCCAGGAGCTGGCTGAGAGGAGCCCAAGGCAGGTCCCTGGGAGGGATTAGGGTTCTGCATCTGCCTGAGAGGAGCTTCCAAGGCTCTGCTGTCTCCATCTAGAGTCTCTCCAGCCTGCTCTCCCATCCCCAGGTCCCTGACCCACTGGATCTGAATCTACTTTATCTGGGAGAAGCCCCCTGGTGCTTTGGGACCCAAATCAGTTCCCCTGAGGAAAAGTCTGCCTCTGGCCAGCCCACACCCACACCTGAGGCCCACTGGTGTTCTTTGAGTCTATTTTTGCATTTTTGGGGTAATTTTCTACTTTGAATTTATTAAAAATAAAGCACACACGCTCCTCACCTTCACTTCCCTGCAGTCCTAGAGGTCACATGGGATTTCCAGGAATTGGTTCTGTGTATTTTCAATGCTGAGAACATTCTGCGATGCAAGCGTTCCCAGCAGGAGAGGGTTGTTCTCAACATGATACCACACTAGGGGAGGGGGGAGGTGCATTCTGGTTGGTGTGCCCACCTCGCTCATTCTGGCCTGTGCAGAGCAGACCCCTTCCCTGTAATCAGGTGACGGACCCTGGGCTCTGGGGGACAGTGTGATGCTGGGGTGTGAGGTTGGGGGCCTTGGACAGGTTGGTGAGGGAGTTTCCTATCGGCACATGGGGCAGCGTCCTTGAGTGGGAGGGCTGAGGGGTGGCGCTAGTGATGAGAACTTGAATCAGGCTGGATGGTTGTTCTAGTGAAGGACAGCCCACCAGCAAGGGGGCAGGGTAGCTGTGACAGCTGATAGGAGCTCAGGGGAAAAGTGAGGCCAGGGGTGGTCAGTGGGGTCTCCCTGAGGAAGTGTGGGAAGGGGTGGCAGCCTGTGGGGAGCCTGCCCTGAGCATTTCCGAGGTCACCTTGGCTGGTGGGGACAACCAGGATCAGAACAACATTCCCAATGGTCAGAGCGGGACTGGGATCCTAGTGGCACATGGGAGGCGAGATTGCTCATTTACCCAAAGGGCCATGCGCTAAGGATGACCGTGCTTAGCCAATGAGAGCCCAGGAGAGGCGCATTATCCCTGTGCTCACTGGTTGGAGCTTGACTTCCAGCTTCTTTCTCCTGGTGGTGAATTTGGCCTTTGCAGCGTGTTCACAGCATCAGAGGCTCCCGTGCCAGGTCACCTGGCATCAGAGGCAGTGGCCCTGCTGGGCAGGGTGTCTCTGAGGCTGGTTGAGTCACAACAGGCCGTGACTGGGTCCTCCATGCCTCCTCGACTCCTGCTTCCAGAGTTCAACCGGCCTCACCTCCTTCGCCCTCCCGCCTGGGGGTGGGTGCCTGTCCCGCCTGCAGCCCAGGTCTCAGCGCCCGAACAGTGAGTGGCTTGAGGGTGCCACGTGGTGAGACCGGGTGGGAGAGGGTGACAGGCTGAAAAGCCACCATGTGAGTCCATGGGGTGTGACTGAGGAGGGAGGATGGGGGAACCCAGGTCTGTCTTATCCCTAAAAGCAACAAAGAAGATGAAGCAAAGTTTTGTGTGAGGAGTTTCCCTTTCGTTTTCAGGAAGCTGCTGCCATCCATGGCTGTGAACCAAAGAGGGACATAGTGTGAGTTAGGGTTCTAGCCTTTTCTCAAAACGGCCCAGAGAAACAGAATAGAAGGGAGAGGCCATCAGGAGGGGCAGGAAGGAGGACCCTGTAGGTGATGAGGTCACTGGCAGGTGCGCACTGGACTGAGCCCCTAGGGATGCGCGTCACCTGGGGCAGGGCCAGGGCCCTGAGCAGCCGGAGCCCCTGGGTCCTGGGGTGGGTGCCCGGCCCTCAGCCCTTTAGTTCCCACCGGTTCCTGCGGGCGCAGAGCCGCTGAGGGGACGGGGCTGTGGGCTCCTGTCAGGGCCTCATTCTCTGGTGGCTTCTGAGGTCGTGGTGCCCGTGGGGCCATCGGCCCCTCTTCCTGCCCTGGGACCTGGGGACACTCAGCCCAGAAACCTGAGTCATGTGGGTGTGGACACCGAGGGCGCCAGCTCCCCTCCTGCAGGTGCTGGGCGGCCTCCTCTGGCGGGAAGCCTTGGGCGGGCAGCTGAGCGGGGTTGGAGGGTTAGCACCTGGCAACACAAGGTCCTGGCAAACGTCAGGCTCCCTCGGCCCTGTCCCCTGGCCCCGCCTCGGCAGCAGCCAGGAGAGCACCCAGCTCCGACCCCGCGGCGAGTTGGGACACCTGCCGGCCCTTCCCTCCCATACAAAATCTTTGCGTTGATTTGAGAGAGAAGAAGGGGGAGGAGAGATGAAACCACCGGCGATGGGGGCGGGTCACTGGTTGGCGGCCTCCCGCGCGGCCGCCGCCCGCTGGACACTGTGCCTGCGCCCCGTGCACCCGCCTGACCAGCGATGGAAACTGCTCTCCCGGTTCATCGCTCAGCGTCCACCACTGAGCGGCCCCAGCTGAGCTCTATTGTATATTTGTAATAAAATGTCATGTGTATTTTTATTGTCGATGGTGTTGAGATGTTCCCATTCCCTGTGCCTATGTTCTTTGGGGGTCTCTCCCGATCCCCCCTCCCCTGGGGGGCCTGTCGGTCTGTCCCCGTGAAACCGGCCTCTGGTCCCATCTCCTCCCCCAGCGCCCCTGGCAGCTCAGCATCACCTTCACTCCCCAAGGTCACGGCCAGGGCGGCCGGAGAAAACTACATCACCCAGAAACCACTGCGCCGGCTTCCGCTGAGATAGGCGCGTTTGGGTTCCTGCACTTTCAGTTAGGGCGGGACTTCCGGTATCGTTCTCGGGGCGGACGTTGTGGGTTGTGGCTTCCGGTAACGGACCTGCTGGGCTCAGCGCGCGTCTGAGCGTTGGTGGCGCGAAGGAGGAGGCGAGGGAGGCAGCGTCCCCGCTTCGCAGGGTGGGCCTGAGGCCGGTTGAGCCCCAACACCCAGGACTGGGGTCCCCGAGGCTCCCGACTCCTCTCCGCCGACAGAGTCCCCTCGGCCTCACCCCATCGGACCCTCCAGCCTCGGGGCCGGCGCCGCTCGGGTCCCGCCGCCCAGGGCGCAGCGTCCAGCGCAGTGAGTCCTCGCGGGGACCCGGGGTGTGAGGGGAGGAGGGCGCGGGCTGCGGGCCGCCGGGGAAGCCGTGGGTGGTTGTGATGGAACTTGTGTGAGGCAGGGTTCCAGGAAGAACAGTCTAGAAGGGAGAGGCAGCAGGAAGGGCGGGAAGGAGACCCTGTAGTGATGAGGGTCCCTGGCAGGTGCGCACTGGACTGAGCCCGAGGACGGCGGGCATCACCCCCCCGGGGCGGGGCCAGGGCCCTGAGCAGGCGGAGCCCCTGGGTCCTGGGGTGGGTGCCCGGCCCTCAGCCCTTTAGTTCCCACCGGTTCCTGCGGGTGCAGAGCCGCTGAGGGGACGGGGCTGTGGGGCTCCTGTCAGGGCCTCACTCTCTGGTGGCCTCTGAGGTCTTGTTGCCCGTGGGGCTGTCGGCCCCTCTTCCTGCCCTGGGAACCTTGAAGGGACACCAAGCCCAGAGTCCTAAGTCCAAGTCAAGGGTCAGATGAGTGGCAGCTGGTTTTGGCAGCCAGTGGAATTGTGTGTGACAGGTCCTTCCGCGCATGGGCTCCAGAATGTGCAAAGGCTTGGAGTGCAGACTAAGCTGATTCAGGGACGAGCAGAGGTCCGTTTTTTAAAAACAGGAACTGGAAACAGTGGGACAGGAACCAAGTGCAGAGGAGCTTTGTGACCACTTGGGTTTCTGTTCTGCTGGTGATGGGGTCATTGGGGTCATGGGAGCAGTAGAGCAGGTGACCTGTCCCAGGTCTCATTAGACTCCCTGTGGCTGCAGCCTGATGCACAGGATGGGTGTGAGGACGGTGGTAGGAGGCCCAGGACGGAAGCTGCTGTGATAGTGCTGGTGAGTGTGAGGGTACCTGGAGCACAGTTGCGGTTGTGGAAGAAGCAGTTGCATTTTGGTTCACTGATTTAGCTGTGGCCACCTGGATTTTCTAAGTTTGAGAATTGGAAAGAGAGGTAAGAATCAGAGCTGAGCCCTAACTGGTTTGGCTCAGTGGATAGAGCATCTGCCTGCAGACTCAAGGGTCCCAGGTTCGATTCCGGACAAGGGCATGTACCTCGATTGCGGGCACATCCCCAGTAGGGGGCGTGCAGGAGGCAGCTGATCGATGTTTCTAACTCTCTATCCCTCTCCCTTCCTCTCTGTAAAAAATCAATAAAATATTTTTTTTTAAAAATCAGAGATGATGTAAAGGTTTGGATTTAGCACCTGATGGTATTAAAGCCCCATCAACTGTGATGGAGAAATTCATAGTGGGAATAGTAATGTCCATGAGGAATATAAAATCTTTTTATATTAGTTCAAATAAAATCATCTTAAGTTATGAGATATTTCAGAGACCAGTTCATGAACATCTGGAACTCTGAAGAGTAGTTTAAGATGGAAACTAATTAAAAAAATAGTAAAGAGTCTGGACCATGGAGGAGTTGTGGATCACTGCTTTTTTTTTTAATTGGAGGTGGAAGAGTAATTCAAAGAAAGTGAGACTGTGGCTGGTGCATATTTACTTCTTAAACACTCACCAGCATTTCTTGTGACCCTTTGTGTGGCCTGGTGTGTTGCATCCAGTTTGATTGATTTGCTTCTGGGCATGAGTGTGCATCTGTGAGATTCACTGGCCATGGAGTAGAGGACCATAGGCTGTGGGACTTGAGTACTGAAGCCTGTGAGTGGAGAAGGGACATCAAGTGCAGCAGCAGTAGAGGTGGGCTCTGGGTAACTGAGATCCTTTGTGGTTCT